GATGTCCCTATTTCCCCCCTTTTGCCCCCTCTACCCAGCTCTTGCCCCCCACTTCTCTTTGGCCATTACCATACTGTTGTCTGTGTCCATGGGTTGTGCATATATTTTCTTTGGCTAATCCCTTCTTTAAATTCACTTCTTTAAATTTTTATTTTCAGATATAAGTGCTTATAACTGCACTATTATATATTTTCTATTATATCATTTAGAATTAAGATATTTTTTAATTGAACCCTTGTAAATTTTAGCACAATTTAATAAATTATGCTAGAAGCAATTAGGAGATTTTTCATGTAATGCAGATACATTTCAATTAATATTTTATTAATTTTTAATTTTTTCATATTTTTAAGATTCGTGCAATAGGCCTTCTTTCCCCTGGCTGCTAGCACCACTTTTCCTCTGGCACCCAGGACCCAGACCTTCACTCTGGCCACTGCCTTCCATCTTCGCTCTGGACACAGTCTTCGCTGTGGCTGGAGCCTTCAGTCTTTGCTCCTCCCTACAGCGGGAGTCTTCAGTCTCCGGCCAGAGCTGCTCCTGTAGCTACTTCCGCACCCAACATCCCCCCTCATAGCTTGATGGCTGCTTTGCCTGCAGACCTCGCGGAGGGGCTCCTAGGTTCCAGGGGGCCACCTCTCAGGTGCCGCCTTGCCTGAGGCCCGGCTTTCCCATCATGATCAGGATCACGGGCCGCAGGCACGGCGGCTCCTGGGTCCCGAGGGGCTGCCTTGCCTGTGGCCCGGCTTTTCGGCGGCTCCTGGGGTCACACACAGAGGCCTGGATGGCTGTGTCCGGTGTCCCGCCCTGCCTGCAGTATGCAAATTAGCCGCCATCTTTGTTGGCGGTTAATTTGCATATCACGCTGATTAGCCAATGGGAGGCATAGTGAAGGTACGGTCAATTACCATGTTTGTCTATTATTAGATAGGATTATATCTGAGTAAGATAAAATAACAAATGTTGGAATAAATCATGAGAAATTTTATAGTAAGGCAGATGCATGTAAAATTAATTTAGCTATATGCTGGCTAGATGAAGCCTCTTATGTGAGTATAAATTTCTCACTATGAGACTGGAAACATAAGACAGATGACTCTGATTCTGACTGTAGTTTTACAAAGGGGTACCTATATATTAAGAAATTAATGTTACAGGGCATGACTCAAAAACTAAGATTATTTCAGCTAGCTACATAGATACTGTCTTATAGCTTTATCATTTTTCTTAGGACAATAAAAATGTCATCAACATTTCTCTCTTTGATATGTATTACTGAAGCCTATGAATCAGTGGTTCTAGCTTATTTTTAGGTTAAGAACCCTTTTGCAAATGTGATGAAAGTTATGCAGTTCCTCTCCAGGAGTATGCATAATTATTTTATAGAATGTTTCCTGTAAACCCCACCCCAGAAACCCCTTTATAGACTCTAAGTTACAAAACTCTGCTCTCACTCATGGTTTTTCTTGCTGGTTTTTGGCAGGACTGGGACAACTAGAGCCTTCAGTGCTGCTTAGCTCCACCATGTCTATAGCAAACATTGTGGAGGTTGGAGGGAAGTATTGAATTTGAGGCTGCATTTGTCTCTGGAATAAGAACAGGAAATCATTGGCTTATTTATCCATCCATTAAAAAGCATTTAGGCCCTATCTGGTTTGGCTCAGTGGATAGAGTGTCAGCCTGCGGACTGAAGGATCCCAGATTCAATTCTGGTCAAGGGCACATGCCCTGGTTGCAGGCTTGATCCCTAGTGTGGAACATGCAGGAGGCAGCTGATCAATGGTTCTCTCTCATCATTGATGTTTCTATCTCTCTCTCCCTCTCTCTTCTTTGCTGAAATCAATAAAAATATATTTTAAAAATAAAATAAATAAAAAATAAGTAAACCCCAAAAATGTTTAAATAAAAAGAATTTAGTAGATAGCTATATAAATACCAGTTTTGTAGGCACTGGGGGCTATGTCATATATAAAGTAATCCAACCAC